CCATTTGCATGCAACCGAGTTCCTGTATTATACTGTATAAAGCTCGGCGCATATAATGAGGCGGACGAGCCGCCGTCTCTTGAAAAACAATTAAATTCCTCATTATTGGCAGTTTCATTGCACAGAAAAGCAATTCAGAGTTTCTTCGAAAAAAAAATTAATTTTTCAGACCGGCGAATTTTTATCATCCTGAATTCTTAGAAGTTCTATTCAAATACAGTACATTAATAATAATACGGTAATTCTATTCTCGCACCGAATATTCCAATAGCCTAATATTGATTCAAGCTCGCATTAAACAAAAAGAAATACTGTGTAAACTTCAGATTCCAGGAGGAAATGGGAGTTTTTAAGGATTGTTTTGCACATTCTATGGATCCTATTGAGATGGAAAACCGGCTAACAGGCTATAATATGTTATAAAACATAATTTGCACACGAGATAACAGACAATAATCCGTCTTCACCGGAGAAAACTTTCAATTAATCAACCTGTGACCATCGCTAGGAATTCAGAAAAATAATTGGACAATTACAAATGACATAAAAAAATTTTAGATCTCCAAAATTCAGAAAAATTCCACGTGTCTCTTTCCGCGGGGAACTTGGAAATCCCGGCCATCAAACTGATTTGAAAGTCCTGACGAGTTTTAATTATACAGAAACTCATTTTTCCTTATACGTGCAATCAATTTAGCTGCAATAAACTGAAAAAACAAATATTCAGAACTGTTTCAGCACACACTGAAATTAAGAACTGTACTTATGCTTGCTGTTGAAATATACTCTTTTGCTCTAAAACTGCCTTTCTTATCGTAATAAAAACGAGTATCGGAGAATTCATTCGAAGAAAATGTGACGCTGTTGCCGTGGAATTCCGCCACGTTTTTAAAGGGTACAGATGATACAGCATTATTGAGGAAAACCCCGATGAAGTTCGGAGTTTTAGAAGTGAGTTGCATTCCACCAATCGTTCTTGGCGGTTCAAGTAGCTTTAAATACCACTCCGGAAACTATTCCGAAGCGCAAAATGTTGCATGGCATTTTGTCCCCGTAGGCTAACAAGAATAAGGTCCCGATGCCAGTCGTGGAATGTGGACCTGACAGCTGAGTATCTTGTCTCGCGGCGGGATTGTGAGTCGACTGTTCCGGGCCGCATGAAACCCGCGACAAGAATCTACGCATCCAAGTGATAATGACTTCTTCGCAAGGAAAAGACCGATTCCGGTTTCATTATCTCGGGATTTCCGAAACCTTTCGTCTTCACTTCGAAACCCAGGCCCCACCTTTCGCTATCTGCCTTTACCTGCGAGGCATTCAGCCGTGAACTCAACCGGAAATGCGGGGGATGACCCACAAGATATAAAGAGAAAATATAAATAAGAATTTATTGCAATTATGGGGAAGGTTTTCAGCACAACACCTCACCATGCAGGTCAAACATAGGTTTCGTTTGATATAATTTCTGCTGATTCGAGAAATTTTGCGTCATGAGAAATCAAATACCGTGGAATCGGATGCAATAGGGATAAAAAAAACTGTAATACTGTACTGCGAGACCCCAATTTATGTTCGCAATCGATTCTAGCAGAGGGGCGGACATAAATTGAAATCCTTTTCTTCTTATATAGGGTCTTATTGTTACAATTTCAAGCCGTTTTTCGCCATTTTACCCCTAAAATTCCCGCTAAATTTGAAAATTGCTGCAGAAAATTACTATATGACCAGTTCAATTGACCTCTTTTCCAATGAAAGTGAAAATTTGAAGACCATCTCTCGTAATTACGCTCGCGTTTCGTCCCCTTCTGGTTTACTCGTCGCCTGTGTTGAGATATCAAGAGATCACGCGTCATCGTGCTTTTCTTCCGCTGACGATGACATCACCGCGAGCTAATGAAACTCAACAAAAGGCGCCCGATATCGACCAACGTCACCGTAATCAATCACGAAGTCCCGAGACAGAGAATACATTTTCCCTGGCTTCGTCAAGCAATTTGCGCAATTAATCTTCAGCTTGACCAGGCCTCGGGACTCGGGTCTTCCAAAGTTAAACATCTTTGAATGCGAGCGTAGTTCGTCAAAGGACTCTGTATGCTTCAAATAAATGAGCGTCCAATTCACCGCTTTACGCTAAGGGAAAATTGCTGGCAAGATGAAGAAAGAATTCCAGAGTTCATCGTTTGAGAAAACCCTCCGCTATAAGCGAGGACGGGGATATTCTTTAAATTCATGCAATTCATGTATTCATCCCCTGAAAGTGGTCGAGTGGAATCGGCGTTGCCGTAGTTTGTTATCACGCAGAAGTACCGCTCGAAATCGTAAATTTAAAATTAATGTTGGTTTATAAATACTGTACGTTGCATAAATTTGAAATAAACATTCTTTTGACATGGGCAAGCACATCACTCATAATGCTTTTGCTATGAAATATGTTCTGCATATATACGGCCGAGGAGCTCATTCAAGACGAAGTAGTTCATGTTTCTTGCAGCTGGATGAGTGAGTCAGATAAATGAGATGTCTCGTAACACGTTTGGTGAAGGAATTGAAAACTCACCTTATACTTCTGGTCCGTTGAAAACATTAACAAGAAAGAATGCATGACAGGCTTGGAAGTAAAGACAGTAAATATCAATTGCATCAACGAGTTTGTTTCACGGAAAACAGAATGCTCCAAATGTTAGTTGCAAGATATATCTGTTCCAAGAAAATTTCGAATTCGTGGGATGCATACTAGCGAAACGTATGAGAATTGTCAGCTCGACGCATTAGGAATATCGACGAGTGGAACATCGGAACAATTAAATACCGGATATAAAATAATATTGTTTTTAGGATGTTCGTGACTTCAGAACCCATCAGGACTTCTGAATTATTTTAAACGCTGATTTGAACCATTCGAAGTTGCCGCTGTTGTCAGTGCTATGTGTTTCGATTCTTATGTTTGCTAATCATTCTCATCCTGCTTGGGAAATGTTCTCCTTCCCGATCATGTCAAATTTAGTCGCCGCCACTTCTTCAACTTCGATATCTAGCAATCAATTTCAAAACCCTTCCAATAAAGAAGAAGAAAATTCAACATACACACTGAAATTGAAGAAAATATAATCTTGAAGACAACGTTCCGTACGTAATCATAAATTGACTCGCTTTTCATCCCATGTCACAAACAATTAATGCAAACATACAATTATTTATTCTGCAGATCTTCGGGACTGCTTGCGATAAAAAGATTACCAAGCGCGAGGCTTCTCGCAGTTCCTTTATTTAATGACATTTTTCTAAACATTGATGTGCAAATGAAGAAGAATCGAAATTCAAATATTCTTTTCATTCCTTTGTTCCCCAATTATTATCGCACAGAGATCCTACCATCACTTATGCGATCATAAAGTTTTTTTAAGAGCCTGCTGGGGATTTGTTGGTCTGAAAATATTCTTGAATTCCGTGTGTTGCGCTGAAAAGCAGGAATTAGTTTTTTCAGTTGCGCTCAGTAATGTAGAACATATCTGGTCAGCGGTTTGACGAAAGAAGAGGAGGGAGTTTTAGTGATCACTTCCTCCTCGTGTGAAATTAAGAGTAGGATTGAGCATTATGGCGAGCAGGAGAAATCCACTGAGTAAACGCGACAAGAAGGCCGAACAAACCCTTGCCCGCGTCCAATATTTGCAGAGCTCACGGCCGGCGTTGGTATAGAAGCTGTGACCCTGTTCACGGAAAAAGAACACTAACCAACTGGACGAATAATGAAGGAATCGATTGATGAAATGAAAAAAGAGTCTATTTTCTTTTGAAACACCGAAAAAGATGAGGCGGTTTCCGGAAGCGTATGTGCGTGCATAATTGTGAGGAATGAGAGGGAATGCAAATCTGACTGGAATGTCACTCGGGCGACTCGGGCGTGGCAAATTTTTAGACGAAGCCAAGCTAAAAATTTATAATTGTACTTCGCAGTTTGATACGCACACGCGACGTTTTCAAAAACGGATTCATCCAGATCATGCAGTTTGAACTTCTTGTAACATTCAAATCGAGAAGCGGTGGGCCTTCATTTTGGCGTCATAGGTTTCTCACATAATACTGAAAATGGACACAAATTCCGTGGTGGGAACATCCCACAAGAATTTTTCGATCAAATCTAGCTCATTTGAATGCGTTGTTTTCAATCCAAAGTGAGTGAAGTGCGAAAAATCGAATTTTTCATTCACCAATATAACTATCCTAGACAAAATTTTATATCGACGATAACCTCTATCATATGATCTGACCACGTAAACTGCGCAGAGGTTAAATTAAATACTGCGGGCCGATTTGAATATATGTGTACACATAACCTTCCCGGAGCGAAATCAGGATTTTCACCAAGGGCAAGAATAATTGTGGATTATCAAATATCATTATGTATTTCACCCTTGTTATGGTTATACAGTATTAATTTCTTGAAAATGATGAAGCAATGCTTCTAAGAAAGGACAAGTATGCATAGATTAAATCGTAAGCTATGAACTTTCTCGCACTTTTTTCACTTGCTTACTTGAGGCACAGGGTGCAAATGAAAAATTTTAAAGTTTTTTTCAAATCATTAAAGTCGTTATTCAGATCATTATAGAAAATTTCAAGTCATGATATAGATCTTCTCAATTATTTTCAATTGCAAATTTAAAAATATTAACGTGTATACGAAAAACGAACTTCCTAAACTGCATAAAAGCATCTCTGGAACACGATGATTTGCATCGGACTGAAGGGGAATCACGGGAAGAAATTGCATGGGCTTTAAAAATGAGCTTGCCACGATGTCGCGGAACGACAGGAATCTCAAAGATGGGGGCGCTTGTAGGTATTGATGGGCAAAGGGGAGCTGACAGGCGTGGTGAATGGTTTCGGTACTACAAACTCTCTCGTCTTTTCCGTGATTGCGTTTGCAAGCAGGTGCGAGCAGCCGGATAATGGCGGGGTTGTGACGCGCCATCCGTCGACACGTGGGACGCCCCGCGAGAATGGCCGAGGACTCCAGTACCAGCCGAGGTGCCTGCGCCAACCCCAACGCCCACCCGGGCAACCCGAAATACGGCCTGCGCCCGCGGTCTATCATCAATCGAATCGAGACCGAACGCCGACGGACTGAGCCTGTCAAGAAGCCCAAAGAGTCCAAGTCCAAGCACAAACCAGCGCCGTTGAGCAAGTACCGCCGCAAAAATGCCAACGCTCGCGAGCGCCATCGCATGCACGAGATCAACGTGGCGTTCGAATCCCTGCGCAAAGTCATCCCTGCATTCACTGTCGACCAAGGAAAACCCAACAATGAAAGCCAGTTGACCAAGATCACGACGCTGCGGCTCGCGATGAATTACATCAGCTCTTTGAGTAGGATGCTCGAAGATGGCGGTGACACGTCACCGAGTCCCGGTGACGCGTCAATGGACAGCTCAGCCTCCAGTGTGACGGACTCCGGTTCTCTGCAGTCCCCGTCCCCGGAGCCGGTCATGTGGAGTCCGGGTCTGATGGCAATGCAGGCGTCATCGACAGTGACGTCGACGATGGTGTCGACGCGTGAGAGTTTCCTAACCCCGTCGCCGACGCCTTCGCCGAGCGACGACCGCCTTAGCCGGTCATGTGGAGTCCGGGTCTGATGGCAATGCAGGCGTCATCGACAGTGACGTCGACGATGGTGTCGACGCGTGAGAGTTTCCTCACCCCGTCGCCGACGCCTTCGTCGAGCGACGACCGCCTCCGACATTCGGGGCCGTTGCCGCCGGTGGAGACGCTGTTGCAGCGAACAATGGCGGATATCGACGGCGGGCCGCCGACGGATTGTCTGGCGGGTTTCCTCTGCGACCGTGACACGGGGTTTGGGTTCGATTCGTTTCCATCCTTGACGGAGTTTCCCGATGTCGGTGACGCGTCAATTGCGATCCTCTTCGACTCCGACGGCGAGAGCGTCGCGTTCCGCTCAGACTTCAGCGACGAGCCCACACCGTGAGAAATCTCCAATGAAACTTCGAAGAACCTTAGCAGAAGCTTTAAATCAGAATTAAATTTTATCAACTAAAATTTCCTTACGACTAAATACAGTACATTACAGCCAATATGCTTCATTGTCAATATCGTGTGCCAAAGTCATTGCCGTGCCGTGATACTTTTTATCCAGCTACCGGAAAGGTGCTGCTTCGGCCATACGAAATCAAATTTTTTATTTATTTATTTACTTCCAAACCAACTTGCACCGCTGTTCGAGGTGCGAATTTTTTGGCATATTGATATTACCACGTTCCATTTGTAATGTCTCTTATGAATCTTTTTGTACGAGTATAGTATCTTGTGCATGCGCATGTGATATTTGAATGCTTCCTGAGCGATCGAATTTTCTGCCTTGTCTAATGAGAGTGCATTCATTCCGGAATGTTGAAATGATCCGCTGACGAAATGAACTCGAAAATCGAAAAATCTGGAGAAATATAGTATCATCAGACGGATACCTTTACGATGTCTTTCACTCATTTCTACTTTCGTATATTAATTACAGCAATCGTCTTGAATGCATTCGACTATATATACTCTCCGGAATACGAATGGGGCCATCTCCAATCTGAATTTGAAATAACATTCAAGTTGTATGCATGGACCTATGAACTCAAAATTGAATGTTTGCAATTTTTCGTGAAAGCCATACAGAGGTAAAAGCGTGGAATTTGTTCTAGTATGATGAAAAACCGCTGAATGAATGCCAGACTGATGAGCGAATAAAAATGCAAAAGATAATATGCATCAAATTTCAACTCATAAAAAATTCTACTCGGTTCATTTTGGATTATTCGCACGATTCGCATAAATAGATCTTACTTCAAGGAGTATACCGAATCGCATATACATTCCACGTTTGGATTATTTGATCGCATTCAATATTTTCAACACTGTTTTCGAGCAGTACAGTACTGTACATTACTTCTTAAAGATGATAGATTATTCTCGAAAGGAAATACGGTAATTTTCCGTGAAAAGTTTTGCAAGTGGCATGCTGCAGTCTTGGGTATTATTGCTTGCGATATTAATTTTGCTTGAAATATAAACTACTGAGTACTGACCAGTCTTCTTATTGCTTCTTCATTAGGATACATTTAGCTTCAAGAGAAATAGTTCACCCTGAGAATCTGCGAATTTTCGAATATAAAATTCAAAATCGGGTTTCTACAGAGCGGTTTGTATAAAACAAAATAAAAGACTTTATCATGGAAGGATAATAAATACGGTAAACAAATTTGAATTTTTATATTCTTAGTTTTTGAAGAGCTGAAAAGTTAGGACGCGTCTTTTTGTATAGCGTGAATTCAGTCGTAAAAAAAATCAACGTACAGTATATATGTGATTATTTGAGATAAGTATAGTGAAGCTCACGACAGGAGCAAGAGCTCAGTTCAACTTCCAGAAGCCAGGAAAACACTCCCTTTTCCTTCACACCGCAGTTTCACATTACAGTATACACGAAAAATAAAATTTCCCGCCCCGGTTTCGCATTCGTGCTCTTCCTGCTTGTCTTGCATGAGAGCTGTACTGCACGTGAATACACGGATCTCACACGGATATCCTCGCGATGACGTTGTGGTTATTCTGTGGTGGTTTATCTCAAGTCTTGCTCTTCACAAGACGACAGCCCATCCTGTCAAATCTGTGGTACAAGTACAGGGGAAACCGTGTCTTGGCTTTTAAAGCAAGCAGGATGAGGAAAGAATAGCTTTGAAAGATGGATACTACACGTCGGTGGGTTCAAGTCATCACTGTACTGTAATAGACAAAAGGAGCACCGAACCTTAGGTCATGTTGACGGAAACAGAAGCAAACAATGTTCAGCTTGAAACTTCAACTCACAAATTTAAACTCCATCCTATAGTGCAAGCTGAATATAATTTATTATTGAGAAAAAACTTTCACCGTCATGAGACGGGATTGCAAACTTCAACTCAAAGACTCCCTACATTGCACTACAATTTATTCTTTTTAAAATTTGCACGTTCAGGATCCGGGAATGAATAGTTCCAGTCCATTGAGAGAATTAATAAAAAAAGGTACCAATTTATTTTAAATCTCGAATACAGCAGTACAGAATGTGTATATTTTCCTGTTTGAACAATGCAATTCTTCTTCCCAACTCAGGTGTGAGCGAAGTCGAATAGATTTTTTTGAATCTGAAAAATGCTCCAAAATGATCTTTCGTCTTGATCTGATCACAAAAATGTCCCAAATTACTGTACTGTAATTACCGGTTATAGTCAGGTGGAAACCGGACAAGCGGGACAACACCAGCAGTAACACGACGCGATATTTATGATCGTTCCAGGATGGAACGTATAAGAATCGTGGGATATATGGCGTTGGACAAAAGCGAGGCCTAAGTAAGATACATTTGCTCAAATTAGGTTCAGTAACCTAAGAAGACAGTTAGACAGACATGATCGGACGTGAATCAAAAAGCGGCTACCGATAATAGTTGAATTCCCTGCCACCTCGCTCTCCCACAGAGCTAGCATGCCATTGTCCAGCTGTACTCATTATAGTTGGAGCGGGCAAGTTCCTTCGACTGCTCGGTTAAACGGACTGCAGATCTCGCCGATTCATGGGTTCCCTCTGATGCATTTGTCAAATTACGCAACACCCCGAGCTCGAAACCAACCGCTCCTGCGATTTAGCATTAGCACGGCAATCGCGAGTCTGGATCCGAGCAGACATAAGTATCAATCATGCTGCCATCCGGGTCGCGACCACATCCAGGCGATTCAGCTACAACATGGGGAAGATGAGAATCGCTTCAATTTGGGACTTCTATCACTTCCGACCGCGAAATACTGTAATTCATAAAACGCTCGGAATGAACAAGCTGCCGGGGATTAACCTCTCGTCATATAATAAATTCTCTTGACCTTCGGCAAATCGAACCGCGTCTATATAGCGACGACCATCTCATAGCCCAAAAAACCATGCGAAAGCAAGCTTAGCACCAGTAAAGAGAATCAGATTTCCCGGAGTCAAGATAAAAAAATCACATATATGGTGCTGATACTCCATGACAGAATTTGTAGTTTTTCATCTCTTCCCTATGCAGAACAGCAGTTCCGCACATCATCACGGAGCTGTCAGCTGGAGCAATATAGTAAGATCCTTGGGTAAAATGGACGAGTCAGGAGTACACGGAAGTACACGGATGTATTTCTCTTGACGGACGACAGACGAGTTCACAACACAGACGAGAAGGATATACACAGCATGAGTGGTCAGTACATAAGGTTCAGTCTTTGAGTGAGTGTTGTTGATTTGAGGTTGTTCCTTTTATACAGGGTCGTTGCCTTTGTCCACTTCTCCCCGCTAGGCCGTTTAACGGTGTTCCTTCCTGTGTCCTCGGTCGGGGGCCTTGGCCTCCGGAAGCGTGGTCGTTTGGCTTGTTGTTCTCTTGGTGTTTTTGTCGGCGGGTGTTTTTCCATGGTCTGTTGTCCTCTTATCTCGCGTAGCATCGGCGATGGTTATCGGCGGCGCTTACTCTCCCCCCCCTGAAAAAAGAGCGACTGACCCAGAATGGTGCGCCGTATTTAAAGCGGCGGTGGCTGGTGGTTGCATCAGGCATGGGCCCGATGTTTGACAGTGTACAGCTCGACAGTAGGCATGCGTGCAGTTGTTTGTGTCGCGTGCCGCGTATGCGTGATCGGGTGCCTTGGTCGTGGTTGTGTGGGACTTCTGTTTGTTCTGCATCGCAAACAGCTTGTCGAACCCCTCGTGTGGCGGTCCTGGTAGCTGGTTCCACGGCTGCATCTCCCAGGCCTTCGCGTCGTACGTGTGGTTGCGGACTCCGATGCGGTAGATTCCGTGCCCCTGGAAGGTGATGACCATGAATGGTCCGAAGCGCTGCTTGCGGAAACGGCGTCGTGCGGCGTGCTGCATGGTTGTTGGGATGCGTGGTCGGATGGTCACCATGTCCCCTGCTTCGAATTTGGGCCATTTGTGCTTGTTGGCCTGGTCTGCGAACGTCTTCCGAGCTGCGTCGTTGTGCCGGCGGACCTGTTGTTCGTGGTGGACCGTGCGCGTGGCTTGGATGCTGAAAAGATTGTCTGCGTCAAGCTGGATGGCTGTGTCAAAGAAGATCTCCGCTGGACATGCCCCGGTGGATTTGTGCGGGGTTCGGTTGTACGCTAGTACCGATTGCGGTAAGTGCTCGTCCCAATGTGTGCAGTCCCCTTTTACCAGCTTGGCCTGTATTTGCCCCAATGTCCGTATTGCTCGTTCGCAGGTGCCGTTGCCCTCAGGATGGTATCCGTGGGCCAGATGCTGTCTGCATTCGTGCTCCTTCAAGAAACGACGGAAAGCCCGGGATTGAAAAACGGCGGCGCGGTCGGAATGGATCACCTGGAATGTTCCGACTTGGCGGAAAATTTCGGCCAGGATGGGTATGGCCGCTGTTACGTCTGCTCGTTTCACCGGTTGCGCGATCATGAACTTGGAGTAGTGATCGACCGCCATGAGAGCGTATCGGAATCCCTGTTCAGATCGGGGCAGTGGTCCGTAGAAGTCAAGGGTGAGTCGTTCCCTGGGGCTTTCGGCAGTGATGGGTTCGAGGTGTGTGCCTGTTTCTTGCGTGCTCGCGTTATATGTAAAACACTTGCTACAGTCCACAAGGTGCCTCCAGATGCGTTGGCGCATGTGCAGCCAATGGAATCGTCGGCGGATGGTGTCTAACACCTTTTTCCAATGCGCATGCCCCAGTTCTTTGTGGTAGGCATCAATGATTTCCCGTTGTTCGTGGGTGTTAGGAATTTCGCGGGTCTCGCTTTGATTCAGGGAGATGCGGCTCAGCGCATCGGGCGCGTGTAGCGTACGCCCTGGGCGGTGCTGTAGATTTCCGCAGTATGCCCCGAGCTTCATTTGTAGCCGTATGAGCCGCATTGTCCGGAGTTCTCCGAGGAGAGGTTGGTGATCAGTTACTATGGTAAACTCGCGATGCTCGAGGTAGTGCCGGAATTTCTTGGTGATACTCCAAACGATCGCCAGGAGTTCCCGTTCGGTGTTGCTGTAGCGGGTCTCGGCGTCTGTTAGCACCCTACTCGCGTATTCGATCACTGCTGGCCCGGTGTTGGGGTGAATTTGTACGAGTATTGCACCCAGTCCCGTCGCCAAGGCGTCTGCATGTACCTCTATGGGGTATGTGCCGTCGTAGCATTCCAGGCGGGCTGCATCCGCGATGGCCTCTTTGAGGCGGTTAAACACTGTTGTGGCCTTGTCAGTCCAGCGCAGGGTGGTTTGCGGTTTTGGTGGTATGATCTTGCAGAGGTGTGTTTCCGCAGACGCAAAATTGAGTGGTACGTGGGCTCTCAAATATGTGGATAGCCCCAGAAACCGCTGCATTTCTTTGGTTGTTCGGGGTTGTGGATAGTCGCGTACTGCCTGTAGGTTACGTTCGGCGGGTCTGGTACCGGTACGGTCGACAATGTGGCCCAGAAATTCTATTTGTTGTGCCAGAAAGGTCGACTTGGACAGGTCCACTGCTGCTCCGGCTGCGTTGAGTGTGGTGAGAACGGCGGCAAGGTTATCGTGCACTTCTGTGAACGTTCTCCCGTAGACGATGATGTCGTCAATGTACGCCATACACTGGTGTGGGATGTGCTGGCGGAGAATTGTGTTGATGGCCCTTTGGAATAATGCGGGCCCGTTGCGGAGTCCAAACGGCAGGACCGCATATTGCATTTGCCCCTTGGGGGTCCAGAATGCGGTTTTGTGCCTGTCCGGTTGCATTATCGGCAGGTGGTGAAAAGCCGCGTGCAAGTCGATGGTGCAGAAGTAGGCGTTGTCCCGTCCTAGCACGTCAAGTAGGTCTTGGATTATGGGCATCAGATAATTGTCCGGTACGAGGATGGAGTTTAGTTTGCGGTATGGTGAAAAGCCGCGTGCAAGTCGATGGTGCAGAAGTAGGCGTTGTCCCGTCCTAGCGCGTCAAGTAGGTCTTGGATTATGGGCATCGGATAATTGTCCGGTACGAGGATGGAGTTTAGTTTGCGGTAGTCCTCTACCAAGCGCCAGCGTTTGGATGCCGGAGCGGCCACGTCGGTACACTTCTTCGGTGTTAGGAACGCGGGTGAGTTGTAGCTGGATGCTGCAGGCTCGATCAGGCCTGCATGTAGGTATTCCGTCACAATTTCCGTAAATGGCCCTTGTTTGTCCGGTGCCTGGCGGAATGGTCTGGATGCTGGCGGTGTGGAATCGGCGGTGATCAGACTCACAGATTGTTCGGGGAAGCATCCGCGCCTCCCTGACCATTGATGAATTGCTGCTGCATGGCTGGTGAGTAGGTTTTGTAGGGTTAGGCGTTCCTGTGGGCTCCCGTCAATGAAGATGATGCCGTCCCCGATGTTCAGTGTCGGTTTGGCGTCGGGTTTGTAGTGCCCCTGATATCCGATGTAGAGGCGGTTTCCCTCCAACCCAATGGTGATGGGCATTTGGTCCAGCATGTCCCAACCCAGGATGATGGGGAATCCCGCGTTGGGGAGGATCCATAATTTGGCCAGGTAGAGTTTATTTCTGATACAGATTTTGGTGGTTGCTGCGCCTTTCAGGACCAGGTTTTTGGTTTGTCCCGCGGTGGAGACGGCGACCTGATCTGGTGATGCCTCCAGTTGTAATGCTTCCGCCCAGTCCTCCTCGATGAAGGAGTGGGAGGCGCCGGTGTCAATCATGGCGTCACAAGTTTGGCGCTGGATGTGGACAGCCACGAGGATGGGGGCGGTGGTAGCGGTCTTGGTCTGTAGAGCGTAGAGGACCGCTTCTACTGCGCTCGTTTGGCGTTTCCCGCCTTCTGGCCGCAGTCTTTGGCTGTGTGGCCCGTCAGGTTGCAGGTGACGCATGGTGCCGTTTTGTCGTCTGCCGCGGGCGCTGGTGTCGTGGGCGTGCCAGGTTTGTCCCGTTTTTGGTAAGCGGGGTGCTCGGTGTGGAAAAATCTGGAGCGGCATGCTGTGTTATTGTGGCCCGCGACCTTGTGCCAGTCACAGTAATCCGCGGTGCCCCGGGTGGAACGTGGGGTTTTTGGTCGGCTGTCGTTGCTGCTGCGCGCTAGCAGCCCCCCCTGTTGGGCCAGGTGTAGGGTGCGTTGACGATCCGCATATTGCAGGAGTTCCTCCCATGGGAGGTCGGGGTTGTCGTTCAACTTGTTCACCAGTTTCTCCGCAACTTTGGGGTGTGCGGTTTTGATGAGTTGCTCCGACAGCATGGGGTGTATCACTGCGAGTTGGTCGACGTTTATTTTGTGATGTGGTATGGCGAGAAACAGCTCCAGGTTGGCTTGTAGACGACGGCCAAATCTGCGGTATGTTTCGTTTGTATTCACTTGCAGTTGGCGGAAGCGTCGGAGGCGCTCAAAACGCGGGGTTGGATGCTGTAGCGTGATTTCGTGGACCATGTCGTCGAACTTGGTGGCGCCCGCCACGTATGCCTGGCGGGCCGTTTCTGCGACGTCGTAATGCGTGTGGTGGATTAAACACCGGATGCATTCGTTTTCCCCGATGTTGTCAATGGAGAGGAGCTCCCTGAGCCGTAGAGCGTAGTCTTCGAAGTCTTCCTCTTTCAGCTGCTTAGGGAGTTCCGGTGCCTGGTGGTCATGGATGCACCGGCTGGTTGGCGGCAGCAGGAATGTAGCCGCCTTTGTTGGGCTGGTTGGTATGGGCGATGCTTGCAACAGTTGGTACATCATCAGCGTCACGGGTGAGACCTGGAAGCGATGCATGAGGTCGATGTGTGCCTGTAGTTTGGTTGTTGTTGGTCTTTTGGACAGGTATAGCTCAGCAAACTTCTGGAGCATGTGGAGCGTGAGGAAGTCCCACTGGTTCGGTGCTGCGACAGGAACGGTCTGTCCCTGCCTGTCGATGTCCCCTGCTGGAAGGGTGGCATCGGAGTCGGTGATGATGGAATCATTGCCGGAGTTGTCGGTTGGTGGCTGCTCCGCTCGCAAGCTGGCCTGATATTGAAGCACCAGCAGCTCAGCGGCAGCCCGTTCGGCGGNAGCACATAGCAGACGATGCAACTGATGATGACCACCCGAGAGCAAACGATGTCACGGTCAGTTGCTCATGTTATTTCCACTCGAGCATCGCAAATCAATGGAATAACGATCAATGCGACATCGACATTCTTGATCAAAACGACGTTTCTACATGTACCGAGCAGCAGCTGATCAGGTGCGTAAGTTTTGCTCGATCGCAACAATTGAACAACTCCATGTCCATCACTCTCGTGGTAAAAGGAAACACACGTTATCTGTTTCATCTGCAGCAAATATAATGTATATAAACATGGACATAGTTCAGTAACGGCCAGCGGCCATTAGTCCCGCGCGACTTGTACAAACGCGTATTCGAATCGAGCTTCGTTCAGATCTCGTACCCAATCAGGGTACGCCGGCGCAACGGCCCGCGCGCCAGCGACCGGCCATCTTCTGTAACGAGGGGCACGCCAAGCCTCATTCTACCTCGAACCACCGACGAGTGCGGACCTCTGTTTTATGTGTGCGACAGTGTACTTATGTGAATAGACTTCAGTATTCCGATATTGGTGTCAACTCATTCCAAGTCTAACTTATCCTAGTGTGACTGTGGAGAAATCTTACTGGGGGCTCAGCCGACCGACGACAACCCGCCATGAACAGTGACCGCACTGAAAGTGAACCCCAACCGGGACCATCTAACGCAAACGCGTCACCGCAACCGGTAGCGTCATCGCAGCAACGGGCGACAGCCAATCCATGGAATTTCCTCATGCTAAACGCCATACGTACGTACGCAACAGCGAACGGCATTCCGAACGCTAACGAAGTGCCACGCGATGAACTCATCAGCGCACTTCAAGCCAGAGGCGCAACGCCACTCAACATCATCCTCGGCTCACCGCCGGACTATCAAACGGGACCAGGGTCTACAGAACTGCTAGCACGGTCGTTGCTGCGCAGACGCGTGGACTACCCGCATCAGTCGCCCAACGAAAGTATCGAAATGTACCTACGATGCCTGGACACCGCCTTCAAACACGACGGAACGCCAAACTTCACGCGAGTCGACTGTCTAATCGGGCACTCCCAGCCGAAAGTAGTGGAGGCAGCACAACTCCTATACGACCAAGGATTCATGGACTACGACGTCATCGTGGAGAAGCTCAAAGCCAGGTTTGGTCTATCACCATTTGAACACTTTACCAGGTTCCAGCAGTTCCGACCGGCGTCCGACGAGCTATTTTCACAGTTCGGTCCACGCCTACGCGACGAATACCTCCGATATCTCGCCTTACCACCCAACGAGGTTGGGCTACATGAGACCTCCATCACGCGGGCCCTTATCGGACAACTATTGTCCATCACCACCGGCGGGCTCCACGCCCAACTACACGCGCGGGCGACAGCCAACCGTTCCCTCACATGGGATGAATGCCTGGCGATAGCCGACGAATACAGACGGACTCATCCGGCTCCACCAAAACCGGCCGCATCACCGGCACCGCAATCACCCGCCAACCGCCCGCCCAAGACGACGGCATCCGGAGTCACGAAATACTACTGCGAAAATCATCAGCGGTATGTGTTCCACAGCACGGCCGAGTGCACGATGTCACGCACGAGCTCACGGGCATCCACGCCGTCCACAACGGCTAACGGACGCCCCCTGCAAAGCTGTTTGTTTCATCCGGGGCGCATGGTCGCACATTCAACCGAGGAATGCCGAAACAACCCGGCGAACCAGGTGAATACACCATCCCCCGCACAATCGATTCAACCGACTAAATGCGTACAATGTGGCAATACAGGACATACCGCAGCAACATGTCCGGGAAACGGGAAGATTGGGCAGTGACGGCTGTCCTCTGCTCGATCCCCACGCCCACAGACGACAGCCTGACCATCATCATCACTATCAAAAACAAACAGGTGACCGCCCTGATCGACACCGGAGCGACAAAATTGTTCATGGCGACGGACGTCGCCGAGGAAGTCGGCCTGTCTCCGCATCCGACCCAAGCGAGGATATCCGCAGCAGTTCTTCACGTATCCACGACCGTCAGTCACGCAGTGAGTACTGTTTTTACTCTTGGATGGGCCGCGTACGAAGCCACCTTCTTACTACTCTCCAACACGCACTACCCTGTTATCCTCGGGCTTGACACGCTGAAGAATCTCCCTTTCTGCGTCACCCTCGACGGCCAGCGAGTTTTTTCCGGATTTCAGCAGATTAAACCTATTAACGAAGCCCCGACAGCGCCGATAGGCGAGGGCATCACATTCGTACATGGAACGCCCGCAGAGCAACAACAGATCGCGGCACTCCTGCGGCGCTACGCCCCTAACATCTTTCAGTGGAGCGGTAAACACGGACTCTTCCCGCAGCACGTTGCATTGCTACCAACCAACGGTGAAGACCCCGAACCCAGTCGCCGCATACGGCTCTCCCCAGACAAGCGGCCATCGCTCCAACACATCATTGACAATTACACCCACGCGGGTATCATAGAACCAGCCCAGTCCACCGTCAATTCCCCGGCCTTCCTGACGCCGAAAGATGACGATCCAAATGCCCCCGCAATCAAGCGGTGGCGCCTCGTAGAGGATTATCGGGAAATCAATAAGGTTCTACTGGCAGACAACTACCCGATGCCAGTCATTCAGGACATCCTAGATGCACTAGGGTGCCAAAACGCCTACTTCTGCTGCCTCGACTTGCATTCGGGATATCATCACATCCCCATCGCACACGGCGACCGCCACAAGACCGCATTTTCGACCTATACAGGACAAATGCAGTACATGGTCCTACCATACGGCCTCAAAACGGGACCCGCCATTTTTCAAAGGACCATGGAAACCATCCTGCGACCGCATTTATACACGAAATGTCTGGTCTATATCGACGACACCATCGTCTTTGGCAATACCTTCAAAACGGTACTGGAAAACCTACAACAGGTTCTCGATACGCTTGCGTCTGCAGGAGCGTCCATCGATATCCGCAAATCCAAATTCTTGGCAGAGTCCATCAACTTTCTCGGTCACATTGTCGACAAACCGGGCACACGCCCTGCGGAAGAGCACCTCAAAGCCGTCCAGGCCTTCCCACAACCGGCAACCACACGCCAGATGCAGCGATTCCTGGGCCTTGCCACCTACCTACAAGCCCATGTGCCGACCAACTTCGCACAATTGGAGAAAGTCCTACGACTAACAATCCCAGTCAAACCGGCGACAGCCATCATATGGTCACCAGAGGCGACTGACGCGTTCGAAGCGCTAAAACAAGCAATAGCAAACGCCGCTCGGCTGGAACGGTTCGACCCAGCATGGGACACCGAGATCCACTGCGATGCGTCCCCATCCGCAATAGGGGCCATCCTCGTCCAAATTGACCCAGAAGGACAACCCCACATCATGGAGTACGCGAGTCGGGTCCTAACCCCCGCGGAAATACGCTACTCCAACACGCAGCAAGAGCTGCTGGCAGCGGTCTGGGCGACGACCAAAAAATTCTGCCACTATGTCGAACATCGGCACTTCAAGAT